CTCCATGTGCGCCGTGGAAACGATGCCGCTCCACACCAAGCACCAAGTCGCACAGCACACAATGCAAAAGAACTGCAGCCTGCCGCTCATCGTTCGCTGCCTCAAGAAGAGGCCCCGCCGCCACCGCGGGGAGGTGATGAGCATGTCGGCGGCGAGCCCAAGTTGGATCCCAAAGCACCAGCATGGTATCGGAGCATTTAAGTATGGCCCCCAAGCTGAAGGTGCCCTGCGCTTGGAGTTCAGGATTCACTTGAGAGATGCATACACGGTCGACAAACACCAACTGCCTCGGCTCCCAAACCAGCATTGTCAGCAAATAGACGAGGCATCCAGCGCTCAAGCACCACCAGCTGTTCCCCTGATCATCGGAGAGCAGGCCATAGCCGATGCACGCAGCAAGTGCTGCTGCTGTGCCTACCGCTGCGGCGGCCCGGGCTTTGTAAAGGAAGAACAAAGTGGCAACCTTTCCTGAAACGGGACCATGCCAGCTGTGGGACCAGAATGCATGCAAGCGAGTTGTGGTCTGGCTCAGATGATAGAAATCGCCACGGGCTCTCCTAGGCTGCTCAGTATTTGACCCACTGGGAAACTGTTTATATATACTTCTTCTATAGGATAGGGGTTTAGGGTTTAGGGTTTAACTGTTTATACTGTTTTAGGATAGTTGTATTGTCGTAGGAACCCCAAAACAAACAACAAGGCTATACTCTTGAAAAGGCTAGTCTCAGGGGCCTGCCCAGCCGGTGAAGTACATTCTGGACACAAGTGGCCCGGACGACATCGGGCCTCGTGGGCTCCATTTTTGAGATGACTTCAGCAATTCCAGCTATCCAGTCTGTCTGGCACTGCCATTCCCCGGCTTCTTGGTCTGAGGAAGAGCTGGACCTTTCCGACGGTACCGACACCTCGGCGTCGTGGTCCTCGTCGAGGCTTTCGGGGTGTCCCAGTACGGTCACAGTCGGCAGCATGGCAAACCGGGGGTTTAGGGTTTAGGGTTTAGGGTACACATGTACGAATCTGCTACAACACTTCTCGGCCCAAAGACGCCAGCACGTGACACATAAGCTCTACGTCTGGCATCCCCCTCGAAGGACACCCCGAACGGAAACTTGCCAAATTCTCAAACAGTTTATGTTCTCTCTCTCTCTCTATACATACATGTATATATATATATATATAATATCTAGACACACATACACTCACCGTCACCTGCTCACGAAACATGAGCACAACCTTATGTAACCCGACATGAGCCCCGACACCGTAAACCCTGAAGCTAAACCCCGACATGCCAAAAGCAACGACATGAACCCTAAACCTTAAGCCCTAAACCCTAAACCCTAAACCCTAAACCCCGAACTCACAGAACACCATCACACAACAGTAAACTCCATAGACAACAAAGAACTACAACACAAACCCCGAACTTGCTAAACCAGAAACCGTAGCCTCCCAGGAAACCATGACATAGACACCGGCAGACCCTAAAACTCACAAAACGCCAGAACGAAAGCCTAAACTCGCAGACAGCTGTCACACACAAACCCGTGACTCACGGCACGCTGCAGCCTAAACACGAACTAAACTCACAGAGCGCTACAGCATAAAATCCTAAACCCTAAACCCTAAACCCTAAACCCTAAACCCTAAACTCAGATGCAAGGGCTTCCAACCCTGCCTCTTTGGAGCCTGGCAGGAAGGAAGCAAGTTTGCCAAGGTTTCTATTCGGGTGTAAAGGAGCCTGGCACGGGTTTCAAAAGGGCTTCCGTATGGTATGGGGCATACGGCACAGAGGGCTTGATGCGATGTGTGTGGGATCTTCTCTGTTCATACAGTTTAGGGCATACTCCTAGGTTCATGGGAAGTTGTTGTTAAGAGTACGTTGCTTGGAATAACCAGTACTTGGGGCTGCGGATGCCCGTAAATCATTATACAAACTGGGTATCTGTCAGCATTGTCACAACTTGTGATGGTGACGACAGAATTTGTGATGGGTTTAGGGGTTTAGGGTTTAGGAGATTAGCTGCTGGGCAAAATCGTGCCGATGTACAGCAACCACCTCATTGCGATAACTATGGTTGCTGGTCCGACTCATACTTTTTGTGTTTATACGAACACTGCAGCTGCAATTGCAATAGTGACCTTGATAATTAGAGTAGGATCTTGGTATTTTGTAGTATAAGTACAACAAGGAACCCTAAGAACGGTATTGGTGGTTGGTTATTCAGGCTTCTAGATTCCATGTCAGTGCAGCTGCCATTCTGGCTGCTATCCTCACCACCGTCAACACCCTCGATCGGACCGACACCTTTTTCGTTTACAGCATCTTGGGGTTTCGCTGTAACCTTGGTGGTTGGGCCAACCTCTCTGCCTCTGCCTCTCTTTACCTGCATGTGTTGTCGCGTTGTTGGCAACACGAAGATAAACGCATGCTTCTGTCCCCTAAACCCTAAACCCTAGGACCCATTTAACAGGAGACATCAGTTCGGAAACTTGCTGGACCTTTTCCCAAAGCCGCAAGCCTGGCAAGTCTGCACCTGGGATTTGGCCCCCTCAAGCCCATGGTTTTTACACCCTAAACCCTAAACTCTACAAACCCTAAAAACCTTAAACCCCTAAACCCTAAAACCCTAAAAACCTTAAACCCCTAAACCCTAAACCCTCAACTTCAAGACCATAAGTTCTATCGGCCTTGCTTCTCCTCCTTGGCTTTCACCTCGGGCCTGGCAGCTCAACCGGCTTCATTTGGTCCGGTTGCTGGCTATTGGCTGGTAGATACCATAGCCACTGAAGGATTTCACAAAGGACTTTGGGTCTAGGATGGCTTGGGATTTGGGGCAGGCTACCCTGAACCCTAAACCGACAGTCAAGAAAAGTTGGAGTCTCTCCAGGCACCTGGAGGTGGATAGGCCCCGATTTCTGTCACAAAAGTGGTTTTACTCTCGAAGCACTGCTTCCTCAGTCAAGCTTCAAAACCACAACGTCCACCCACACCCACACACACACACACACGAACATTCGAAAGATACTCTGAACTGCAAACTCTACACCCTGCAGGAAGCTTGGCGCAAGCACTTCGTGACAGCCGCTTCCTCTTGCCCGAAGCTTTGGAACCTCGATGGCTTGAGTTGCAGGCTTGCACCGATGACCCTTGATTGTCCACTTGTGGGAGCAGGGGTCTTAGTGGTCTATGGTCGTGCCTGTGCCGCCGTAGTTGCCATCAGAGTAAGAAGAACAGCCGGAACACTCTCACCATCATGTTCTCATCAGCTGCTTGACCATAATCATCGTCATCAGCATCGCCATAAGCAACAAGGGCATCCAGCATACTACGATGAGGAACAACAGAACTCGTAGAAGAAGGAGTCTCGTCGTTGATATGCTCGCAACTACTGTCGCCGTAGCTGCAGCAGCTATGGCAGGAGGATTGCCGGTTGCAGTCAACCTTAATCGTAGATCTGAGCTTGTGTTCTCAGGGTCCCACAGGAAAACAAGACAAATTACACCTGCACTCTGCAATGAAGGAGACCAGATCCAAACACCCTTCCACCTTGGACGTCACACCCCCAAATCCTACACTTTCAACCCTCCTTCCCACCTGGCCCCTGCTGCACCACGCAGATCTCCAATGAAGAATGAGAACCCATCGTATAAGGCAATCTACAAGGGCCATGTTTTTGGGATCCCAGATGCAAGCCTTATGATAAACCCCCTATATACCGATGGCTTTCGGTACACTAAAGCCTTATCCTCCTGAGGAGGTCGCCAATCTGATGACTGCCGGTGATTCAGTAGCGCAGCAAGGAGCCGGGTACTCGTCGCCAGCATGGCCTCGCAAGTGGGAGAGGGTTAATATAGGGGCCTTAAAAATTAGAACAAGGCTTTGGGGGCCTATTGTACTATAATTATAAGAAGGAACCCCCAAAATAGTATAGGAAATTATTTAGGCCCCTATACTAAGGGTTGAAGTGCTTTGTTTTGAGGGCCCTTTTGCGTTGCAGCTGTAGATAAGGCCTCGGGGAAACTATGGGTTTTATAAAGGCTCTAAAGTCTCTATAAAGATGTGAGGGTTTAGGCTTTCGGCGTCAGGGTTTCATCTAGGATGTAGGACTTCAGGCTTTGCTTCAAGAACTCTCGGATTGCTAGCTCGCATGTCACTTCAAAGAAGATCACAGCAGGCTCCCCGTGCAAAAACTTCTTGGATAAATACTTTGAGAGTCAAGTATTTGGGCGGTTAGGTGTTAGAATCTGGCATTCGGGCGTTTAGGTGGCAAGGTTGTTACGGTTTAGGGTGAAGCCTACGGCTTCAACCCTGAATCCTAGCAAGTTACAACCCAAGAGCCTTACCTGGCACAAGTCTTCAGACTGGCGAGTGATTGAACCGACGGACGCTTGCGAATCGCACTTTTCATGCCTCGGACGATGCTAGCTTGCCCCCGGCCCACACTAACCTAAAACAACCCCATGAACACCTAAACCCTAGACCTAAAACCCCAAATCCTAAAGCCATGAAAACCCTGCAACATCAAGCTCAACGCCACGAATTGTAAACTTATATAGGGGCCCTAATAATAAGAATAGGGTTTGTGGCATAGCATACTATAAGCATAATAGGGAACCCCCAAAATAGTATAGGTAATTATGTAGGCCCCTACATTAATCTATGAAGCACTAAGGCATGAATCCACGAAATCCAAGCTTCTACAATCCTGGGATGCTCTCTCAAGTGACCCCTAAACCATGAAGCCAGTAAGACACTGCTACAACCCAAAACCCCAAAACCATGCCTGTTTAGGGTTCTCACTGGCCCAAAACCCAAGGAAATGAAAGTTGAAACTTTCAGAAACGACTACCTTATAAGAACCCCAAAAGTTGAAAAGTTGAGATTACAGCCAATAAGTTTAGGGTGTTTCAGGACATGGAAAGAGCTCCCTGACTGGACGCCTCGCCACTGATAGCAAGGCCATGAAGCTTCGCCTGATGCGGAGGCGTCTGACAGTCTCTCTCTTTGGCGCTCCTCAGTGGTTCTGCTAGTAAAACTCTTCGCGCTTACTGTTTATAGTTCACCCTAAAACCCGGAAACCCTATTTATAGTCCAACTAGATGACAGCTTCTGGGCCTCTTTTTTGTTGAAAGGTGGCTTTGGGTTTTTGTTGAATGCCTGGCTCCTTGAATCCGGCAAGGCGTGCAGCAGTGCCTAGATTAGGGCTATGGCGAAGGTTGACCCTAAATCCTAAACCCTAAACCCTAAAGCCCAAAACCCAAAACCCTAAACCCTAAACCCTAAACCCTAAAGCCCAAAACCCCAGGTCCTCTTCTTCTACGATGGAAACTCCAGAAACCTCATGGCCATTCCCAGACGAAAATCTCAAAGAGGCCTATAAGTCTTACAGTTTAGGGTTTAGGGTTTAGTTTAGGGTTTAGGGTTTAGGGAGTCTAAGAACCCCACCAGATCATATAGATCATAGATGTGTATATAGAGGCCCAAACCGATCCCTATAAGAGCCCAATGGAGCCCTAGAGTAATATAAGAACCACATCCGATTCTCCAGGTTCTTTCCGCTCCCTCCACTGGGACGGCCTTGGCTCTCAGATGCTGAGATAGCCGTGGAGTGGAAGATGTGAGCTCGAATGTCTTCAGAACCTCAACTAAATGGGGGTCGTTTAGGTTTAGGGTTTATCTAGACTAGGGTCCCGTTTGGGGTCCTGTTATAAGTTTGCCGCCTTCTTTTGGGTTGAAAGAATGGATACCCATATGCGCTTAAGGCTGCTCTGGGGCTTCGTGCTTGTAGGGCTTATGGAGTTTAGGGGTTAGGTAGGGGGGAGTCTTGTCAGAACCAGGGTAAACGATAATAATGGGTTTCTATTGAGGATTTAATGTTGAGGCTTAGAGCTCACAAATTTCTGTTGAAGCTCCTGTGTCCACCAGGCTCTCGCCCCTGTGCACGAAGAAGCCAGATGTACTCAGGATACATAGGGTTTAGGGTTTAGGGTTTAGGTTTTTTCTGGGTCTGGGTCCTATACCCCAAGAGGCCCAAGACCTCGTAGGGTTCAACTTTCATGGCTCAGGCTCTGAGGGGGCAGTGGTTCGAATAAGCATGCAAGCCGTGATATGATAGTGAAAGTTTCGAAAATCCTCTCAGTCCACATCCGCCTAAAGACAAACTACTCCAGATCGGGGTTGGAGCCCAACGCCCTCTTCCGAAACCTCTAAACCCTAAACCCTAAACCCCAAACCCTAAACCCCAAAGCCCTAAACACTTAAACCCCCCAAAGCTGGGAACCCTGAACCCTGAGGAGAGAGCAGTGCGAGCAATCTTCGCTCCATAGGCATCGAGGACCTTCCAGCACTATTTTGGTGCTCTGTGAAGTACGATTTTAAATCCTAAACTTCTAAACCCTAAACCGGTTAAGGTTGCAGGATTTTGGGCTTTTGGGCTTAGGGTTAAGCAAGGGGGTTTTTGGTCCTAGAGTCCCTGTAAGGTTTAGGTTCAGGAGTTAGGGCCTTGGGTTTGGCTTAGGGTTTTGGACTTAAGGTTTAGGGTCTAGGGTTTAGGGTTGGTTCTGGACTTAGGGTATGAAGAGTCCTCATCAGGTTGGACTGGATATGAAACCGTGTGGAATCTGGCTGCTTCGCACAGCCACTGCTTGTACCGAATCCTCGGAACATGGCTGCTCGTGGCCGCCCCTCCGCGCCCTTGCGGACCATCGGGTGCGCTATGCTGTCCTAGGGCCTTGGCATTATTGTCTTGCTAATGAGCGGGAAGGACTCTGCTTCTGCCCGGAATATAGGACGGGTTTAGGGTTTAAGGGTTTAGGGTTAGGACGATGGCCAATGCAAGGATGCAACACCGAGTCAGCCTGAGCCCAGTACCCGGCAGCCGTGCACCAGCTTTCACGGGTCATTCAATACGCGGCCTCCCTGCACCTATTGCCCGAAACACGAAGGACTCTATCCTGCATGATTCTTTTCCAACCATCGGTCAGCCCTAATACAGGGGCCTTAATAATTGAAATAGGGTTTTGGGACCCATTTGCTATAGATATAACAAGGAGCCCCCCAAACTAGTATTGGCAATTACTAAGGCCCCTACATTACCGTATCTATGGCTGGGCCTAAATGCAAATCTAGACCCAAAGCCCTCTGTACCCCAGATTATACCCAAGACCGTAAATATCTGGCAAACGATGCCCCCTAAAAGGCCCGAAATGATCCGAGTTTCGGAAAAACAAAGGGAACCTCCAACGACAAGATCCTATTTAGATGGATCCGGAACCTGAACATCCTGAAATTGTCCACAAGAAGCGCGGACAGCCGGCCCTTCACCCCAAAGGACCATAACGACCCCCAGAAACTCCTTCCAGGAACCCCTCCCTTTGCAAACCGCATCAGTAATCCTATACAAACCTGCATAAAACCTGAGAACATCCTACGAAACCCCGGTGAAAGTGACGCTTAGTTATGCGCAAAACCAAGCCTGAATACCCCAAAGCGCTAACCTAAAAAGCTCTCGAGCCCTCAGAGCGACTCTGATAATTCAAAACGGGACCCCGATTTATCCTAAACCCTAAACCCTTATTGAACAAGCCCACTGGCTTGCCTCGGGCCGGCTTTTGAAAACGCCACGAAGGAGACCAAGGCATTTGGCAGAGGCCACGAAAAGGCGGTCAGACCTCTCTCATCCATGGCTCAAGATTTAGGGTTTCGGGTTTAGGGTTTAGGGATCTGGGTTTAGGGTTTAGGGATCTGGCCATGTACGTCTTTCTTCTTATTCTCGCTGCATTGTTGTGTAGACCCTTTCCTCAGAGTGGTTAGATCGGGCCTGCTTCAGCCCCTAAACCCTGAACCCTAAACCCTAAACCCTAAACCCTAAACCCTGAACCGTAGCCCCCTTGCATGCTGCATTGACATTAGGTTCTTCGGCTCTGGGGTTCCCTTGAAAGGCGTGGGGGCCTGGGCTGGGGATAGGACCTACCACGTAAGGATTGGGGTTCAGGGTTTAGGGTTTAGGGTTTAGGGTTTAGGGTTTAGGGTTTTAGGGTTTAGGGTTTAGGGTTTAGGGTTCAGGGTGTGTGCCTTGGGGCTCATACACTTCCTGAGGAGTTCTGGCAAAACGCCGTGGAGGGTTAGGAAGACCAGCCCTTCCCGAGCTCTTCACCCTAAACCCTAAACCCTAAACCCTAAACCCTAAACAGCTAACAAAACCTGTCTGAGCACAGTCTGGCAACCTCACGGCCTCAGAAGCATCCGCCCTGATAAACCAATAGAACCTAAACTCCACCTGTAACCGAAAAGTCCTACCTTTTTAGGGATCCTTATTAGGGTTTCTATATATATATATATATAGTTCCTTAAAAAGGTAGGTCTTTTCGGCTACAGGCAAACCTTAAACCCTAACTCTCATTTCTGCGGCATTGACTTTAGCTGTGTCAAGTCTCCCTCCAGCTGACTTCCTCACTGCAGAAAGGACGCCTCGAACCTTGAGCAGCCCCTTGGCAACTCAAACTCAACCTTGGTAAATTTCAAGATTACCATATAAGATCCTATACGGCAATACAGCTTACTGTAGGGGAACTATACGGGTTCTACAAGGGATGGTAATCCGACACTTGTCTGACTCAAGACTGCAACCCCGAATCAGAGTTGAGATAAATGCATTGCCTGTTCAGACATCCAAACGGGTGCGAGCCCCAGAAAAGCTCCAAGGCTATTGAGAAATGGTCGATAGACGATCGCACTTTTCAGGGCAGAATCTTGTTTCAGAAACAGTTAGTGAGTGAGGGCTTGTGACCCTGACAAGTATATCTTCACGAACTGAATCGGAACA